CCACGCCCCCGCAGGCCGCGGACCGGAGCCCGGGGACGCCGCTGCGAGCAGAGCCCGCTGTCGTTGTGGCTTTCTGCGTCTCGGCCGCGGCGCGCTCCCGGGCCTCGCCTGGTTCAGGAGGCTTCGCCGAAGCTCGTCCGAGGCCGCCTCCACACACCCCCGCAGGCGGCGCTCACACGACTAGGGCTGGGGGCTCTCTTCTGAAAGGAGCCGCCAGGATTTCGTCCCGCCCCCGACGCCCTCAGAGAGGAACACTTGACCGTTGTGCAGCGGGGGCGCTCTTGGCACTTTGGCTCAACAGAGCTGTCGGGGTAGGTTTGCCATACTCAGGTGCCCCGAGTAGGTGACCCCTAGCTGCTCAGTCCTTTCCCAGTGCACTGTCACTTGGTCAGGAACCCCAGGCCACCTTGCAATGCTAGGAGAACACAAAGGTCGCTAAGGGGAGCAATACCCTTGACCCATCATCAGCCACCACCTGTAGGTCACCTGCTGGTTCTTATCTCTCCCACCGCACTCTTGACACTCTTCGGTTCTGTAGGGCAGGGCCATTATTTCTGCTTTATACTTAGTTCCAGCCCTTTGGACACTGTAGAAACTGACTTGCCTCTGGGACCAGCAGATAGTGTAATGGCTATGTCACTGGACTCCCATGTAGTCAACTGCGGTTCGAGTCCCTCTGACTCTGTGTCTTTCTGGTCAGCGCACATGCCTTATAGCAAAAGCCTCTCACCCCACCCCCCAAAAAATAAAAAGAAAAGAAAAAGAAACCGACTTGCCTCCTGTTATCTAAATAGTAAGCAGTAGGTAAAAAAATAAGATAAAATTTTTAAGAGAAATTTTTTTCGATAGGGTGCGTGCACTTGCTGGAGAGAGACACACAGAAAATGAGAAATCACCCCCAGGGGATGACCACACCACGAGGGAGGTGATGGCTGCACCCTTCCTCCCCTCCAACCCGCAATTCCTTCTCCCCGAGTTTCTTTTTTTAAGAGGGTTTTTTCTTATAGGGTGTGTGTTTGCCCTAAAGACAGAGAGACAGAAAGTGAGAAATCACCCCCCAGGGAGGATGGCCACGCAGCAATCCCTTCTCCTCCATTCTCCTCTTGGGATCTTGGGCACGCATGCACATGCAGGAGCATGAGTTTAAGCCTCGGGGGTCAGGGACTTGAAATAGGGTTAACTACATGGGAGTCCAGCAATGTAACCATTATGCCATCTGCTGGTCCCCCACAGCGTGAGTTTTAAGCAACCGGGTCCAGGACTCAAACCTCGGTGGACTATATGGGAGTTCAACAACATAACTATTATGCCATCTGCTGGTCCCAACAGTCAGGTAAAATTCTAGCATTCGAGATATTTGTATTACTTTAGGGAAGACAGAGAAGTGAGTTCAGAAGCCAGAGCCTGCTCTTCTGGGCCTCCAAAATCCAGCATGGAACTTGGAAGGAGTCAGAATTCTCCATTTAAACCTGACCTTCCAAGTTCTTATAAAGACATACAGTATTTACTAAGTAGGAAGATAGAGTTGTGGACAGTCTACTAGCTTGATCTGTAATTTTTAAGTATTTGTTCACATGGTACGCAACCTCTCTCAGTATTATTAAACTCAGGGCCATCATTTGAGTTGGCTGTGGTTGCCATCCCTTACCTAATCCAAGGTAGCAGCTGGCCTACACCTAAAGCCCAAGACATCTGCCTCCAGATTCACCTAGATTGTTCATGCTGTAGCCAGACTGGTTCTGTTTAAAATGTACATCTTGGGGACCAGCAGATGGCGTAATGGTTATGTCTCTGGTCTCCCACATAGTCTACTGCTGTTTGAGTTGTGGACTTGGTGGCTTAAAACTCATGCCAAGGGAATGCCAGGGGACTAGCAGTTGGCATAATGGCTATGTCACTGGACTCCCATGTAGTTGACCACGGTTTGAATCCTGGACCCAGTGGCTTAAACTCACGTGTGCGTGTGCACCCAAAATCCCAAGAGGAGAATAGAGAAGGGATGGCAGCATGGCCATCCCCTCTAGAAGGTGATTTCTCGCTTTCTGTCTCTCTGTCTCTCTCTGTCTTAGTGGCAAGTGCACACACCCTATAGCAAAAATCTCTCAAAAAAAAAATAAATAAATAAAATAAAGTCATGCCGGGCGTGTGCGCATGCCCCAAATCCTGAAAGTAAGTAGAGGAGAATAGACTGTGGCGTGACCATCCCCCACCCCCGGTGGTGGTGGTGGTGATTTTGCACTTTCTGTCTCTATCTGTCTTACTGGTGAGTGGTGAGCGCATGTACCCTACAGTAAAAATCTCTATTAAAAAAAAAATAAAAATAAATAAATAAACAAAGTAAAATGTACATCTGATCTTGGCCTTTCTGTACGTGAAAATCCTTTCTGTGTGTTGAATATAGTCCCTCTATGATGTGGCCTCTACTCACCTTTCAGCCTGCATCTGGCCATTTTCACCCGTGACTCCAGGTTAATGTTTTTGCTCACACCCAAGAGAGAGCACCTTGTGGCCTGGACCTAAGGACTGAAATCAATTCACCCAGCTTTGGTTTTACTCCCTGAGATTGTCTCTCTTGGCCTTTTGTGGCAACAGGACCCCAGGTCCTGTGTAATGTCCTCTCTTCCCTCTGGGTTTCTGCCCCTTAGTTCTGACAGCTACATGTCAGTGTTTTCAATATTGCAATTTAAACCTGCTCCATAAAATTCTTTTTAAAAATCATATACTTGTATTTTCAATTCTGATCTCCTGCCCTACAGGACTTTTTCATCTGGACATTTTGTCATTACTTCAAAGTCCCTATGTCTAAAAGCCAAATCAAAGTAATTACTCTTCTTAGTCTCTATTTATTTAGACAGTGTCTCCCATCTCGCAGTCAACCAATGGAAACACTTGGGAGACGTCTTTACCTCCTTCCTCTTCTATAACTAGTGTAATCTAATTAATAGGTCGGATCCTATTCATTGTTTTTCTTTCATGTATGTATACCCATGGCAACATAATTCATACAAAATTACTAGGTCCAAAATTCAGATCCTGATTCCACTTTACTATTTTGTGACTTTGGGTGAGTTAACTACATTTTCTCGTGCTTTAGTTTTTTTCACCTGTAAGACAGAAATAATAATAGAACCTACCTCATAAGGTTGTTGTGAGAGTTAAGTGAGTTAATACATCTGAGGTACCTAGGACAGTGCTTGGCCCATAATAAGCATTCAGCACAAGTCAG